GATGTAACATGATGTAAAGTGAATAAATATGATGTAACATGATGTAAAGTGAATAAATATGATATAACATGATGTAAAGTGAATAAATATGATATAACATGATGTAAAGTGAATAAATATGATATAACATGATGTAAAGTGAATAAATATGATGTAACATGATGTAAAATGAGTAAATATGATGTAACAAGATGTAAAATGGTGTAAAATGATGTAATATGATTTAAAAATGTGAAATAATGTAAAATGATGTAACATGGTGTAACATGATGTAACATGATGTAACATGATGTAACATGGTGTAACATGATGTAACATGGTGTAACATGATGTAACATGGTGTAACATGATGTAACATGGTGTAACATGATGTAACGTGGTGTAACATGATGTAACATGATGTAACATGATGTAATATGATGTAACATGGTGTAACATGATGTAACATGATGTAACATGATGTAACAGGGTGTAACATGATGCAACATGATGCAACATGATGTAACATGATGTAACATGATGTAACATGATGTAACATGGTGTAACATGGTGTAACATGATGTAACATGATGTAACATGATGTAACATGATGTAACATGATGTAATATCTTCAAGGACTGAATCAGGTTAAAGGCTCCAAAGGTCTCAAGTTTGATCCAGGATGATTTAGTTTTTAAATCATCAGTGAGGTCAACATTCCTTCCTTACCCGTAGGCTCCGTTACTGATCAGCTTTATGGTCTGAAAGTCTTCTTCACTGGGGGGCTTCATGGACCTGCCTTTACCCTGCCAACACCCAAGAGAAGAAAAACAAGTTCAAAAACACACGAGGGGTGCCCATGGCCCCCATCACTGAGGGGTTAGAACAGTTGAGTGTTTGTCTGGACAGGAACTGAACAGAGAATGAAGGAAACCTAAATGTTTTTCTGTAAGATGTTTAACTTATAGAAGTTAGGGTAGAGGTTTTTGTTTGTCTGACTGAGCTCAGACTGGAGGATCCCGGCAAGAAGAGGGAGCCCTTTTATCCATCAGCTGCAGTGGAGGAGCCAGTGGGGGGCATTGGTGGCCACAGATTAATCTTTAGACACCCCAGTCATTTGAGGAAACTATACTTTTAGGCAATAAATAAGAAAGTGTGGTTTTGTAAAAGGACCGGGGTGGCTGGTTTACATATAAATATGACAGCAGCCATCTTGGATTTTGACATGACAACCCAGCTTTCCATAGGAACGTGCCTGTTGCCTGCACGCAGCGACACTAAAAGAGAAGCCGGCACTTCACTTGTTTTTCAAGTTATCCAGCTCCAAAGACAGACAGATGGACGGACACAGGGTATTTCTAACGTCCCTCTTTCTGCATGGCGTCACACCAAGTGATGTGTGTGCAGCGGCTGTGGGAGTGCTGGTTTGTACAGAGGTGTGTCAGAGCGTTGGTGTGTGTGTCCATGAGTGCTGGTGCAAACAGGTGAGTCTGTGCATGCATCTGCATCACCTCTGTGGAGTCGTCCGTCTCCGGAGTGGGCGGACCCTCGCTGTCGTAGCTGTCCAGGCTGACGATTTCTGCAGAGAAACACGCCGGTTACAACAAGCTTGTGTTGAAACCAAGAGAGACGTCAGGCAGCGTTCCTCCCACACAGCCTGGACGTCTTGAACATCAAGCTCCTCCAGAAGAGACACGCATGTCAGAGAGGAGCTGCAGAATTAAAGCAGCTTCTTTATTCAGGTTTATTTTCTGCCTTCTCCATCAGAGCTCGGGCTCAGTGTCACCTGAATACGTGACAGCTGGTTGAATATGTATTTATTGTTTGATCAAGGAGAAATAATCGAGTGACGAGCAGCTCTGCAGAGCACTGATCGAACCTCTCAGGTGCACGACAAAAGTCATAAAGGTGAGAAGCACGTTCGGTTTTCTGCTTCTCCCTGGAAGTCTTGTCGACCGTCTCCAGGAAACCAAGAAAAGAAACAACAGTGTGTGGAAGCAGCTACGTGGGCGTGCACGTGTGCCTGTGCATAACAATGCAGGCGCTGAAGACAGTGCACGTCAAGTGGCACGCTGTTCACAGAGATTAACTCTCAAACATCTCTCACAAAGTAAAAAAGAAACAAGCAGCGACTTCCAGTGAGGAGTTATTCTGAGTTTGACTCGTTCCTGCTGCGCCCTCTGCACCACTGCGCAGCACATGCTCCCAACCTTACACCGCTCGTGCACACAATGCTGGAGCAACAACACGGTGCAACGTTTGAGGAGGGTCCACATGGGCAGAAACTGGCCCCATAAGAAACTGAATCTGAATTCACGTCAATTAAATCTGTCGGTTTGAAACTGGATTTAATGGTTGGAAACTGGATTTAATGGTTTGAAACTGGATTTAATGGTTGGAAACTGGATTTAATGGTTTGAAACTGGATTTAATGGTTGGAAACTGGATTTAATGGTTTGAAACTGGATTTAATGGTTGGAGACTGGATTTAATGGTGTGAAACTGGATTTTATGGTTTGAAACTGGATTTAATGGTTGGAAACTGGATTTAATGGTTGGAAACTGGATTTAATGGTGTGCAACTGGATTTAATGGTGTGAAACTGGATTTAATGGTTTGAAACTGGATTTAATAGTTTGAAAGTTATGGTTTGAAATTGGATTTAATGGTTTGAAACTGGATTTTATGGTTTGAAACTGGATTTAATGGTTTGAAACTGGATTTTATGGTTTGAAACTGGATTTAATGGTTTGAAACAGGATTTAATACTTTGAAACTGGATTTAACGGTTTGAAACTGGATTTAACGGTTTGAAACTGGATTTAATGGTTTGAAACTGGATTTTATGTTTTGAAACTGGATTTAATGGTGTGAAACTGGATTTAATGGTTTGAAACTGGATTTAATAGTTTGAAACTGGATTTAATGGTTTGAAACTGGATTTATTGGTGTGAAACTGGATTTAATAGTTTGAAACTGAATTTAATGGTTTGAAACTGGATTTAATAGTTTGAAACTGGATTTTATGGTTTGAAACTGGATTTAATGGTTTGAAACTGGATTTTATGGTTTGAAACTGAATTTAATGGTTTGAAACTGGATTTTATGGTTTGAAACTGGATTTAATGGTTTGAAACATGATTTAATTATTTGAAACTGGATTTAACGGTTTGAACTGGATTTAATGGTTTGAAACTGGATTTAATGTTTTGAAACTGGATTTAATGGTGTGAAACTGGATTTAATGGTTTGAAACTGGATTTAATAGTTTGAAACTGGATTTAATGGTTTCAAACTGGATTAATTGGTGTGAAACTGGATTTAATAGTTTGAAACTGAATTTAATGGTTTGAAACTGGATTTTATGGTTTGAAACTGGATTTAATGGTTTGAAACTGGATTTAATGGTTTGAAACAGGATTTATTGGTTTGAAACTGGATTTAATAGTTTGAAACTGGATTTACTGGTTTGAAACTGGATTTATTGGTGTGAAACTGGATTTAATAGGTTGAAACTGAATTTAATGGTTTGAAACTGGATTTAATCGTTTGAAACTGGATTTAATGGTTTGAAACTGGATTTGATAATTTGAAAGTGGATTTAACGGTTTGAAACTGGATTTAATGGTTTGAAACAGGATTTTATGGTTTGAAACTGGATTTAATAGTTTGAAACTGGATTTATTGGTGTGAAACTGGATTTAATAGGTTGAAACGGAATATAATGGTTTGAAACTGGATTTAATAGTTTGAAACTGGATTTAATGGTTT